GTGCCATTGCTACCTCGTTATCGTGTTACAGTGTCATTGCTACCTCGTTATTGTGTAACAGTGCCATTGCTACCTCGTTACCGTGTAACAGTGCCATTGCTACCATTGCTACAGTGTTACAGTGTCATTGCTACCTCGTTATCGTGTAACAGTGCCATTGCTACCTCGTTACCGTGTAACAGTGCCATTGCTACCATTGCTACAGTGTTACAGTGTCATTGCTACCTCGTTATCGTGTAACAGTGCCATTGCTACCTCGTTACCATGTAACAGTGCCATTGCTACCATCGCTACCGTGTTACAGTGCCATTGCTACCTCGTTACCGTGTAACAGTGCCATTGCTACGCCATTACTGTGTAACAGTGCCATTGCTACCATTGCTATGGTGTTACAGTGCCATTGCTATCATCATTATCTTGTAACAGTGCCATTGTTACCATCGTTACCATGTAACAGTGCCATTGCTACAATCGTTACTGTGTAACAGTGCCATTGCTACCATATGTACGGTGTTACAGTGCTTTCACTACTATTATTAAAGTATTACAGTACTATCACTTCTATTATTACAGTATTATTACTACTATTATTATAGTACTATTATATTATTATAGTACTTTTTCTTAAATACCAACAGAGATTTTTAATGTAGGCTGATGATAAAATACCATAAAAAAAAAGGATTGGTTGTCATCAGTGTGATTTTCTCCAGTGTTTTATTGTCATTCCACTGTCACAAGGACAGAGCTACAAAATGAATTCTCTGCCTTCAACCCCTCCCCTTGGGGAGCAGTAGGGTGCCATTGCGTGGCGCCCGGGAAGCAGAGTGGGGTTAAGGGTCTTGCTCAGGGACCCAGAGTGGCAGTCTGTGGGAGTGGGGAATCGAACTCAGAACCTCAGGATTCCAGGCTCTATGTCCTAAGCACCAGGTTCAGAATCTAGGTACAGATCACCATGGCCACAGATGTAGTACTGCTTGGTAGAAACAGATGATGTTACTCCTGACCTTTAGTAAAACGAGTCAAAGCTGAACCGTCATGGCTGACCTCACCTGTCCGTTTCTGGAGAGTAGCACTCCACTGAGTTCAGAGAGGACTTCCCGTCGTAGCCGCCGCACACATAGATATGTCCGTCAATCACAACCGTTCCCATGGCGCTGAGAACGACAGCAGCTTCAGGTTAGTCTCCTCAGACATTCGTCTCACCTGAGTGAAGTTGGCCCCCCCCCACCTTCTTCAAATCAGACAAAATTAGTGTCAAACGTTTGTGCTGGTTTGTGCAGCAAAAACTTTCGTTTGTGCCGCTATCATTTTAAAGATACAGCGGGGGAAATAAGTATTGACCCCTTGCTGATTCTGCAGGTTTGCCCACTAACAAAGAATGCAACAATCTATAATTTAATCATCTGTACATTCTAACAGTGAGACAGAA